CCGCCACAGTGCCCGGCTGTTTTTTGGTTGCAGCCATCATTGTTGTTTGGCGGGTCCGGGCTGGGGATTCGAACCCGCCACCTTAGATGTACGTGGCTGGCGCCTTAGCCGGTTGAGCTAGTTATTTTCTATGTTCATCTCTAGTGTTCTCAAGTTTGGTCACTACCAGGTGCTCGCTGTTAATTTTTGAACTACTGAACTATCTGCATGAAATTTTGGCTTAGTTCACTGCAAAATAATCTGTAGAAATGTCTACCTCAGTGACAACCCATTGCCCAAAGTTCAACATGTATGAAATTATCTCACTGATTATTGAGATACTCAACACCTGAATTTTTCTTTTTGGTAGCATCCTTGCTGGGCTCCAAAGCCGCAAAACTTAGGAGTCCTTAACTACAAAAAACCAAAGGGCCAATAAGAAAATAGTCTGGTTTTTTTTTTTTTTTTTTTTTTTTTAGTGTAGTCTTTTGGATTGGTCTCCCCTTTTCTTTTCTCACTCCCACTGCTCTGACCCTCATCAGCCATCCTCTTCTGGGGGGGTATACTGGGAGACTGGCCTTTCATTTCTGTCTTTGACCTCACCCAGTATTCCTCCTCTTTCAGAAGCACCACATTGGCATCTCTGTGGACTGGATAGGACCTTACTAAATAAGGCTTCTTCTCTTTCTCAGCAAGGATTTAAATAGCTTAAAAATACAAAACTTTTAGAGAAACAGAGAAAACAGATATCTACTTATAATTTGAATTAATTTAGTTATTCATGTCTATTTAAAAAGCACAAATGATATGAAATGATCTGAGTTTTTCAGAAGGAGAGATAATACTTTGTTGCCATCACATTTCATGAAATACTTATATCCAGTATCCTTACATTCGTCTTTTGCATCAGTGTGTTTATCCTTCCTAAAGACACCATCAAGTCAGACGTTAGTTCTCCAGAGATAATTATCATTTTCAGTAGATAGTCTGTTTCAAATACAAGTTGTCATTTGCATACAAATAAAACAGTTATTCTTTTCCTTTTCCCTACAGAGGAATTTTTGTAATCTCCAATGTAATTATTTACTTCATTGCTTTATGAGCTGCTCTTCAAAAAGGCTTGAGTACCACAATGTTCAACACTTCTAGTTATGAGATAATACCCCTGGGAAGTTGCCAATTGACAACTATGAAGTAATATCCTTGGGAAAATTATGAGAATTTCCAAGCGATAAATACTTACTATTTTCCTTACTATGTGTTGGACATGTAATTGATTTTTTCCCCTTGTGATCTCAATGAGCATTCACAAGTGGGATTGACTGATGTTATTGCAGGCTTACGTACCATCCTCAAATATTAATAGTATTTGCTTATTCAAAGTAAACTACTCACTAAAGTTTATTGTAACACAAAAGACTTTCCAGAGACTGCAGAACAAAGGAAGCATCTGAGGAATAATTTTGAGAAAAACTTTTACCCTTTTGTGGTCATATACAGTATAAATATTTCAATGCTTTTAAATCAGTCTAACCCCTTATTTTGGCACTCAGGAAATAACATCAATTAGTGCTAGTTTTTCTATCCAGATCCTGCCTTTTGTTCGAAATCTGGCTTAGGCTTTCCTTTGTATTGTTTGTTTCTTGAGTAAGTCCAGAATACTTAACCACATAATTATGTGCTCTGTGTATGCGTGTGGGTGTATGGACGCATGCGTGCATGTATGTTGTGGAAGAGCAAGCGAGAGATCATATTTTGACACTTTTTATTTGCCAGGTATCATTCCATGGACTTTACATATATAACCTCTATCATAATTATTTATCTTTTCATTTTATAGATGAGGGAGCTAAGGACCACTTTGCCTAAAATTAGAAAGCTTATAAATCCTAAATGTGGCATTTAAAAATATTTCTGTGTTGTTTTTTTTGTTTGTTTGTTTTCTATAAATCCTGCTGCCTTTATCTAGGGCCTCTCTATATAAAATGAAATTACATGCAGTCATGAATTTTCAAGTTATTTCATAAATCCATATGTCTCTTCCCAAACATACAGCACAATGTTGAATTTGAAATTGGTAACTTTTTATCTTCTGTTCCTCCTAAGGTGAAATGTGTAATGCTGGGCATGCAGTAATGAACATAGTAAATATTAGTGATTAATGCATAAAATTCTGTATCGCACTGTACAAAGTGATTCCACATGTTGGATGGAATGTTCTGTATCTGTTAGGTTTTAGATTAATAATAGTGTTGTTCAAGTTCTTTATTAGTGATCTTCTGCCATTTATTCTATTTATTACCTAAAGTAAGATATTGAAGTCTCCAACTATTATTGCTTCTATTCTATCTTCAATTCTATCAGCTTTGTCTTCACATATTTTGATTTTGAGTTGTTAAGCTTATGTATGTTTATAATTGGTGTGTCTTCATGATGAATTGGCTGTTTTATCTTTGTATAATGTTCTTCTTCATCTTTGATAATAAATTTTGTCTATTTTGTCTGATATGTGGTATTACTGTGGCCACTCTAGCTCTCTTTTGGTTACATTAGCATGGCATATCTTTTTCCATTCTTTTATTTCCTACCTATTTTTGTATTATAATTTAAAGTGTGTTTCCTGTAGACAGTGTTTAGTTGGATCTTTTGTGTGTGTCTCTGTGTGTGTTATCCATTCTGTGAACCTCTGCCTTTGATTGCTGTGCCAATTTACCTGTTTCCATTTACCTGTAATGTAATTACCGAGAAAGTAGGATTTCTGTCTACTATTTTGCTAATTGCTTTCAGTGTATCTCATTTTGTTGTTGTTGTTGTTTCTCCATTCCTCCATTATTGCCATGTGTAGAAAACTTTAAAATATTTAGATATATGAAGGAGAAGAGAAATGAACTACTATCTAGAGGGGGGTGCAATTTCAATTTTAAAAGAGCAAAATTCTAGGGTATGTTTGTATGGTTTAAAGGAGCTTGTAATTCATAGGAAATAATAGAGAGGTATCACAAAGAAGGAAAGACTTCAAAGGTAATACTTGAGATAAATATTTTAAAATGAATAGAGTCACCATTTAGTGAAAATGAATATATTGAGTCACCATTTAGTCACCTATTTTTAGGCTGATAAGGAGCATGAATAAAGGCAAAGAAGCTGAAGCAGATATGTGGGCTCATGGAACTTTAGCCTAATGTGGCTTAAGGTCAGATGACAGTTTCCAGGAGGGGCTGATGTTGATAAAGCAGGAGAGAGGTAATCATCAGATTCATGTATCATTCATTCAACAAATATTTATTGACTACCACTGTGTGCCAAACACTCTTTTAGGTGCTAACAATCCTGAATTGAAAGTTTTTTGTTTTGTTTTGTTTTGTTTTCTTGAGCTTACATTGAAGAATGGATAAAGGCAGTTACCTAAAAAACAAAGAAAAAAATAAGATGTTAGACAATAAATTTAATACAGAAAATAAAACAGGATAATTTATTAGAGAGTAACATGGGATGGGGTAACTACAGTTTGGGTGGTTAGGGAAGGCTTTTCTCAAAGAGACAGACCATATATGAAGAAAGGGAAATTTTGAGGAAATACTGAGTTCTATTTTATTTATGCTGAGTTTGAATGTCATAGCCTAGAGGAAAAAAGTCATTGATCTCACAGGGGTTAAAAAAGTCAGCAGATGGAATTGAAATGAATGAATGAGGGGACTTGTGGTCTAGAAAACTAGGTTAGTGGGTAGGCCACTGGAATGTCCCATTTAGAGGTGGGACAGTTGTGAGTGATGGCAAGATCTGGCGTATGCAGTGGCCACCACAGAGTGTATGTAAATAGGATGCTGAGATCATGAGTTAGGGGGCTCATTTTGGGGGTGGATAGTCATCTGAGTAGCATGATTTTCTGTGTTAGCATTTGGTGAGGAAACCATGAGACCTACCATTGTGGGCAATAAATGGAGCTGGGGGTTTAGCTGGGAGTTTGATAGATGAGCTGGGGAGAAGTTGAATATGCTGCCATCAGGTTATTAGCTGAGTAACTGAAAGAAGAAGGTGTTAAGAATTACTGTCTTGGTTTGATTGGGGTCCTAGAGAAGGGGTCACAGGCTGCCCCTCACAGTGCTCTGGGAAGATTTCTCTGCTCAGTTAAAGGGTGCTCTTACTTTTGCTGAATAATTGGAACTAATTTTCTCTCTATCAAACACATTTGGAGGGGACCATTTATATTTTATAAAAATGAATAATAAACATCTGAAATCTCAGAACTTTTGCAAGATATCTATGTAAAATATAAACAGATTCTTAGGGTAGTGGTTCCAAAAGTGTTGTCTCTGAACCAGCAGCACCAGTATCACCTAGAAACTTGTTAGAAATGCAAATTCTGTCTCCCCACACAGACCTACTAAAGCTGAAACAAGCCTTCCAGATGATTCTGATGTACACTAAAGTTGGAGAACCTCTGTTTTAGGGTAGTAACTGAATTCTAGGAGAAGTTGTGCTCTATGCCAAAAGGTTTTCTTTCTTTTCTTCTTCTTTTTGGTACACTAACAGATGAGGAAAGGTTGGGCATACTTTGGGTTAAGTATTTTGTTTAATGTTATTCAAAATTTCAGGAAAATCTGGCTTTCATATGCTTCATTGCCATTAAAAATCCATTTTTGCTGACTGGTCTTTCCCTTTCTCTTCTTTCCTCCTCGTATTTCCATATGGTAGACGAGTTGGATTTTATGTCAATACTTTCAAAAACGTTTCCAGCCTTGAAGCCAAGTTTCATAAGGAAATTGCGGTGGTGAGTCGTGATGGATTATTTTTACAAATGCAATATAAAGTAAAGGAAGGTTTATCTTGGAGACAAGGGAAATGGCACAGTCTTATCCAAAGAGTTCATGCTTGCCTGTTTTCTTCAGTTGTGGGTTGTCTCTCCCAGTGATGCTGCCACTGTGTTTTGTAGTGACCACATAATTTTCCGTATCTCTGGCAGATTTTTTTCACAATTTCACAGCCTCGTTTCTTTTTCAGCCAATTTGTAAAGTTTGAATTTCAAGTGAAAAATTAGCCTAAAATTGGTCTCAACATGTTTAGAGACAACTCTGTTGTTGACTGATGTTTTCTTAATTCAATGGGGTGATTGTGTGGGTATTACTAGTGGGGTTAATATAGACAGTGAGCTTTTGTTTTCTGCTCTGTACTGGTTAATAAATATATCTTGATGCTTTTTTGGTATATTTTAGTTTTGACACAGATTTTAAATTTGGATGATGTACAGAATTTCTGTTATCTTGAGGCCATCCAAACTATCATAAGAGTCTTACTTTCTCAATAAATAGTTTCATTCTTGGGGAGAATAGCCTTAATTGGCACCTGGGATGACTGGCAGCTAATACACAAGTGGCTTCTGTCCCCTTAGCTTTGCCACAAACTATATGAAGTGATGACGAAACTGGGTGACCAGCACGCCGACAAGGCCTTCACCATTCAAGGAGCTCCCAGGTAGGCCAGTGTTGATCAGAGCACTTTGAATATGCCTCTTGTTGAAATATATGCAGGCTGTGTCCCAGCCTACACTGTTTCCTTCATCTTATAGAAGTTTCTAAGGGCCTTTCCACCCAAGGGCTGATGCTGACCTTAGTTCTGTGTGTACGTCTGGTCTTCAGTTACTCAGTGAGGGTTCTTACTGTCACAGTAGAGCTGACTACCTGCCTTTCTCAGCCTTCCACAGGGCCAGATAGCAATGGTGTGAAATTTTAATGTAGTTTTTTTCTAGTTGCACACTTGTTACTTTCTCTGGAGAAGAGAAGAATTTCCCTACCCTATGGCGCTCCTGATTCTTATCATGAGGGCTGACATCCTTGATGAATCCATTTTGAGAAAGGACAGAGGAAGTGAGACCTCCTCATCATCTGACCTCCTAACTGTTGATCTGGTAAACAATGAGTTGTCTCTGTTTTCCGGCATATGCTGTTTGATGTATGCCAGTCAGATGCATTGAAGGACCAGCAATCCATAGGGGAATGTCAGCCTTGCCAGGCTTGGCATCACTGTAGCTTCCTCTTGTGTTTGGAGCCCCTTTTCCTCCATCCTTCTCAGGCATTATGTACTCAAGGGAACACAGGCTAGCGAGCCTTGGGCTGGGATTCAGAAGACCCAGCTTTCCATTTTGTGACTTTGTAGGTCATTTGCTTTCCTTAAGTAAATTCAGTAACCTCTCTGGTTAAATGTCTTATTATTCTTTTAATTCAGTGGAAAAAAGGTAAGATGCTATTGGACTAAATAGCTTGTAAGGTATAATAAATAGCCATTCTTGACAGTCTGTGTGTGCAGCTGTAACATCAGTCAGCACAAGCACTCTGACGTGTGCAGTTATAACAACACACAGCCATACTCACACACCAACTTCTACGTATGGTCGTGTTTGCATCCCTCTGGAGAGGGGTAGTTGTCGTCTTCCTTGCCATGTGGATTAGCTGCACTCACAGTTACTGGGATGGCTGCTGTACTAAGTGAGCAGTAGCCTTACCTTCTCTACCTAAGGAGAAGAGCACTGCTGTTACTGTTACTGTTTGAATGCAGTTATTTCACTACTGAGCTAGGCAGAAAGGAAAAATGAGAACAGGAATATTGAAGTGATGTTATATTTGGGTGTTGTAAAAAGTTATGGTCGTCCCCTTACATGGAAATGAAGGGACAGATTCACCTAATGATTTCTCCCGAATCAGAGAAAGTGAAGACCCAGTGGAGCCAGGACCATGTGACACATGTTCCTTTTGTTTTTTTTCAACATTCCTCTGCAGAGCGAGGTGGTGAGTGAGCTCAGTGGAGTCTCTGTTAAGCTTACTAGATTGGGTGTGCGCTTCCTGTTAGAGGACATGATTGCTGGCATGTGGCCCCAATCATGCGTGTCTGTGTTCTCTAAAGGACCCCGCTCCCCTGGCCCCAGAAAGATGCAAACCATGCTGCTGAATTTGTGCTGTTTTATTTTGGGGTATAGGTTCTGTTCTTTCTAGCCGTAGACTTTAGAAATTCTTAGAGAGTAGGATGTGTCCCGAGTGCTTCTTAGTCATCACATTTGGGCTGTTCCCAACCGTCTGGCCTGGTGCCGGGAACATGGTGGGTTCTCAGTAAACATTACCGAATCTCACTCATCACATGATTTATTTGTACATTTCAAGGTGTCTGAGTTGAGTCATTGGTTTATAAGGTGTAGAAAGAGAAGTTAATTAGTGGAATTATTTTTATATGTCATCAGGGAGCATGTCTACAAAATATTTACACTATGCTAAGGCTGCCTTTTAACATAAAATTTTGCAGTTTTCAGAGTAGGTTTTTCTGTAGATTGTAACATGGCATGATTTGCCTGGGAATAAAAAATGGAACTAGTTAAATTAATTCCTTCCTTCCTATGTTTGGAAGATGCTTGCAGGGTTTATTTGAGAGAGCAGGAGTTTGTGTTACTAAGAACTTGAATTCTTAGTAATTCAAAAGCATTCTTGAATTCTTTACTTGAATTCAGATCCACTACATTTCTGGATGGCTTTAGGGTTGTTTTAACCTCTCTGTGCCCCACTTTACTTTACCTGTAAAGTGGGGACAATAAGGCACTGCCGCTGTGAAGAGAAGAGATAGTATATGAATGGGGTCTGGCCCACAGTGGGCAGTAAATGGTCCCAGTTATCACCGTCACTCTTACTGTTAGCCAGAATTAACCTGGAAGGGGGAGCAGGATAATAAACATGACCTTATGCATCAGGATGCTTCAGGATTTCTCTGGAGAACCCCTGAGCAAATGAGTGTTGTTCCTTAGAAGGCCCCTTGCTTAGTCCTCTGTGTTCATCTAGTGATTCGGGTCCTCTCCGCATTGCAAAGACGCCGTCGCCACCCGAGGAGCCCTCACCCCTCCCGAGCCCAACGGCCAGTCCGAATCATACACTGGCACCTGCATCTCCTGCACCAGCACGACCTAGGTCGCCTTCTCAGGTAGGAAGACTAAATATTTTGGTGGATGGAAAAACTCATGGAGAGCTGGTCCCTTCAGGAATACTAGTGCCACGGAGAAATTTCCAGTTGGGGACCCTGAGGTGTAAGCTGTGGGCATTATGATTTTTACTAAGGCATCTACAGTCTGGGTTTTTATTTCTTTCTTTGTGAGCTCAAGTGATCCTCCTGCATTGGCTTTTCAGAGTGCTGGGGTAACCAGTGTGAATCACTGTGTCTCCCCTACCCATTTCCTATTTGACTTTTTATATTTCCTTACATGCCCCATGCTTGAGTCTGTTGGGCCTTCCTACCCCTTCTCAGCTGGCTCAGGCTAGCGTGCTGTCCTCTTGTAGCATCTCTGGCTCTTAGAATTCTCTTTGAAGGGTCCATTCAATCCTCCCTTCTCCATGAAACCATCTCCGGCTTGGGGCTTTCGGCTACATTCAAGGCAAGCATTGCCATGAAAAGCAGTTATGCTTATTTATCACTTCACATTTCTTTTGTACTATATCCTATCTGAGTAGCCATTTAATAAAACTGTATGGACCATGAGATTAAAAAGAAACATTAAAGGCTGGGTAAAGGCAACTGTAGAGAAAAATTGCCACCTTTATTTTCCAAGCCCAGTCTAGTTCACGCTTTGATGTACAGCTGCTTCTTGACTTAGCATGGGGTTATGTTCCGATAAACTCTTTGTAGGTTGAAAATATTCTAAATCAAAAGTGTGTTTGATACACATGTAACATACTGAGCACCATAGCATCTTGAGAGTCCCCTCTACATAGACAATATTGTTTCTCTGGATCAGGAAGGCTTATTTCTATTTAAGTTGCATTCAAAGATCAATCTGTCCACCGAGTTCTGTTCATGGGACATTTCTTCATGTCTCCCACGTCATCTTTGGCTGGATTAATGTTTATATTTAATGTTCCCTAGACAAGGAAAGGGCCTCCCATTCCACCTCTGCCTAAAGTCACCCCAACAAAGGAACTGCAGCAGGAGAACATCATCAGTTTCTTTGAGGACAACTTTGTTCCAGAAATCAGCGTGACTACACCTTCCCAGGTGAGTGCTGGTTCCGAGCCAGGATGCCCATGGCAGTGCCATGGCAGAAGGACTGTCAGGGGTCAGCTCTGGGGAAAACGGCAGACTTCAGAGCCAACGATGTGATTTTCATTATCACTCAGGTTTGTCTTAATTACTTGATATGTCTGAAACATTCTTAAATCAGTGATGTATATTGTGTGAAATTATTCTTATATTGTTAAGGGTAGTATATAATTATTGTAGAAAATTGGGTACATACCATGAAGAATAAAATGAAAGATTTTAATAGTCACTCAAATCATACCACTCTGACATAACCACTAATGCCCTTTGGTCTATTTTCTTACAGTCTTTCCTCCAAGGCCAGAGTTTATATCCGTTTTGCACCATAAAATTCGGATGGTGCTATTATGTATTCCTGACTCCTCTACTTAATTTTTTGGAGCATTTTCATGTTATAATATTGTGTTTGTGAAACATGTTCAGCCATAGCAGCCCATCAGTTGGATGTACCAACCTCTGATTGCTGGCCACAGGTTCTCCTGGTTTTTTTGTTGCTTCATCAGCACTTTGGGGACCATCTGTATATATAGTATGTACACACACACACACACACACAAACACACACAACAGAAGGTGCCAAAAAAGGTATATACATTTTAATAAAGGAAAAGTTGTTTTAAAATTATAATATTCAAGTCACAGTTAGCTTCTGAAATTACAAGAGGTAGAAGACACAATATACAAGGTAATAAATGTTATCAAAATATATTGAGTATTACAATTTTAATATAGTTTTTTCTTTCTTAAAACGGGCGTCCATTTTTTGGTACCCTCTGCACATAAAAATTCATGTTTTGTGCCTTCCCCTCTTTCTGTCATATTGATTTCTAGTAGAGAATTGGAAAATGAAATCAAGAGAGGTGAGTAAGTTCAAGTCTGTCGCCCTTCAGCAGGATTGTACCATTTCTGTGATTCAGCAGATGGAGTCAGGGTTCCCATTGCTTTCAAGGACACCTGCGTGCACACGTCCCGCCAGCAGCTGCTCACAGGCGTTTCGCTGCTAGCAGCTAGATTTGTCTCATTGACTCCAGAATGGTTGCAACTTCCAGAACTGCTCCTAATGGGAAACTATCTCCTTGTTTCCCAGGTGGAAGTCCCCAGAGAAGTCAGGCCAATACCATTTCCTCTCTGTGTTGTCTGAAATATTTACATTTTGCAAGTGGCACTAATGCAATCATGTAATTACTGAGCATGTAAATGACCAATTACAATAATGTCTCTATTGCAGTCACATCTTGTTGATAACTGCAGAGATAACAAGGATCTTAGAAAATAAAAACTCAGAAGCAGTGCAGTGGGGAATCCTCACCTGTCGTCCCTTCGGAGGACACTTATAAACCGGCACAATGCTTTGAGCTATTGTTTTTCCTCCTCTGTTTGCATGAGATTCTGAGTTTTGGAAACTAACTAGAGTTTGAAATGTGCTTTATAGCTCCTTTGAGGAGAGGAACTGCATGTTTATCAGGGTGGGGGCAGACTGTGTGTCTGTGAATACAGAGCTGCCCTGCGGCAGCTGCCCGGGTACCAAGCACGAGCAGTTCGTTCCCAGTTTGCGCAGCCCTTTGTACGTGCCTCTTCCCAGCTTTGTGGTCTTCTTCACTATGGGAATGTTCAAATTGAGAGTGTTTTAGGGAGATAATACCCTTCCTCTGTTACTGTCTCCTGGACACTCAGAGAGCATCCTCTCAATTCCATCGCACATGGAGACTTTGGTCACCTAGAAGCCGTGAGCACTTAGCCGAGGACATCCTCTTGCAGTGGACGAAGCAACCGAAGGAGAGACATCGTGACACACAGACTTGTGAAATAATGATGAGGCTCAGAAGGGTTCTTTCTTTTTAATTTATTTTTTAATTTGCAGTCTACTGGCTTGTACATAAGGACTCTTTGTGGTGAGGGAAAGAATCAAAGCACTTTTGAAAATAACAAATGGCAGGAGAGGCCACTAAGTACACTTGGGAGCATTAACTTTGCTGCTATCATTGGATGAAACTTAAGAGCTGAGGAGAGAAGGGGGAAGCCTTCTCCAGCTATAGCTGCTCAAGGACACAGGCCAGTAGTAGAGCCCCGCGCCTGGGCTTTGCTTGGCGTGCGTGAGCTCTGGCTGTGGGGAAGGGAGGGAAAATCACCTCCCCACCTACATCTGTTATAATTTCCTGGTTGTACATCTGCCCTTCAGTCTGCCAGGCAATTTAAAAGGACCGACCACGAGAGACATCATAGGGTGCATTTGGGGGAGCACAGCCTCATGCATATTGTTTTCTTTTATCTAGGGACGGGGCAGAAAGGTTTCTTCTCTTTTTCTTGAATCTGAGAAGCCACCTAGCACCAGCAGCTAGAAGCAGAGGAGACTTGGAGCATCTCATGTCAAGAGGGAAAGAAGCAGGGATTTATATATTTCAGTGGGCTTTCGGGTTCATTGAGTGATATCATCTCACTTTATTTAAAAATTTACAGGTGCTGCCTTTTCCTCAGACATCTTGACAGTTTCTTCCTTTTCTTGTTCCTCTGGAGATGTAAATACCCATTTCGTGTTACATCAGCACCACTAGCAGAGTTTCTGATTCAGAGGGTCTGGGTTGGGGTCCGGAATCTGCATTTGTCCCGAGCTCCCAGGGGCTGCTGCTGCTGCCAGTCTGGGGACCACACTGGGGGAGCCACTGGGTTGAGCCATCGGGATTCCGTGTGGCACAGATTTGTGCCCATTGACAGAGTGTTCATCCTCCAGGGAAAGATGCAGCTGGGTCAAGTGCGTGCTGTTTTGACCATTTGTAACTGCTGCATCTAATCGCTTCACAGCCTCTAGGCTAACTTCAGTGTAGTATAACTGCGCATTTAGAAATGGTGTGACTGAAAGAGCTCCATCCCGAGGGCTGCTGGACACGTGAGTGCACAGGAGTATACTTGTAACATGAGATGTGTGTATGTACCTGCCGTAAGTGTATGGGTCACATCACCTGGACAGCAATGTGTTTGACCGTGCCCAGATAAATTGACAAAGGAGAATAAATAACGGTGCTTGGAAGCAGTGAGATGCTAACTGCAAGGGAGTAGAGTATTCAAAACCGACAGCTGAGACGTATCTGGAAAGGTTTTCTCTGATACATGTAATAATGTAGAATGATCCATTTACATTTTACTTTAATATTCATGTTTTTCTAAATGAGTCATCTACATTTAGAAGATAGGTTTTTATAGCCTTTGCTATTTTTAGGATGTGCTGGGAGGAGGGGAGGAGCATTTATACTAATCCTGCCCAGAAGCTCAAAATGTTATGATTGAAATATACCCAGTCTCTGACGGATTTGTCTCCTAGAGTGTCACAGTGCTCTCCTGAGTGTGACCTGAGATTGAAAATGGAAATCATTAGGCCTGCAGAGCCCTTTAATGACCCAAATATTAAATACAGATAGAATTTTTTTCTGGAAAATGTCCTTACCTGCTCACAGAGAGCTGCCCCAGGATTAAGACTTGTAATTCTGGTTCTGTATTTACCTTTCAAAGGACACGCCGTTGTTCTCTATTTTTCCTCCTAAGAACTTAGGAAAAAATCTTGTGTGTGTCTGTGCTTGTGCTCCTACATTATTCTTTTTTTTTTTTTTTTTTT